CCCTCATAATACAACCCCCCACCTCCATCCAAATCCCTCTATCAACACAACCCTCCCAAATCCCCCTCCCAGCATACTTCTCTCAAACCTCCACTCCTAGAACAACCACTCCACCCAAATCCCCCTCCCAGCACAACCCTCCCAAAATCCCCCCCCTCCTAGCACCCCCCCCCCCACCCAAATCACCTTCCCAGCACAACTGCCCCAAATCCCCCTCCTAGCACCACCCATCCAAAATCCCCCTCATAGCACAACCTCCCCAATTCTCCCCCTCATAGTACAACTCCCTACACCCCCACCCCACCCAAATCACCCTTCCAGCACAACCCATAAAAAACTCCCCCCCTCCTTGCACAACTTCCCCAATTCTCCCCCCCTCATAGTACAACTCCATACCCCCTCACCCAAATCATCCTTCCAGCATAACCCGTCCCCAAAATCCCCCCTCATAACACAACCTCCCCAATTCTCCCCTCATAGTACAACTCCCTACACATCCCCCCCCCAACCAAATCACCCTTCCAGCACAACCCATCCAAACTCCCCCCTCCTTGCACAACCTCCCCAATTCTCCCCCTCATAGTACAACTCCCTACCCCCTCACCCAAATCATCCTTCCAGCATAACCTGTCCAAAATCCCCCCTCATAGCACAACCTCCCCAATTCTCCCCCATCATAGTACAACCCCTCCACACACCCAAATCCCTCTCTCAGCACAACCCTCCCAAATACCCCCTCCTAGCACAACCCTCCACCCAAATCACCCCCCCCCCCCAGCACATCCACCCCTAATCCCCTTCCTAGCACAACCCCCCACACAAATCAACCTTCCAGTACAACCCATCCAAAGTCCCCCCTCACAGCACAACCCCGACAATCACCCTCCCAACACAACCCCTCCAAAATCCCCCCTATTAGTACAATTCCATCCCCCCAGTCCCCCCTTCCAAGCACAACCCCTCAACCAGCTCCCAAATCCCCCCCCCCCCCCCCAACACAACTTCCCTCCCAAATCTCCCCTCTTCCTAGCACAGGGAGAGAGCAAAGAGGGAGTGTGGATTGTGCTCTCCCCTCCCCCCCCCCCCAGCTGCTTTCATTCCTTCCTGTATATTTGGAACGCTTCTCTGGTGACTCCTGTGCTTCCGGAGGAAGAAAGCACTATTAACCCGGGGCGTATTTACCACAAGGCAAACAAGGCACTTGCCTAGGGCGGATGTTTTCGGGGGGGCAGCACCTCCCATCAGAAGAAAGGCAGAAAGAAGGGACACGCTTGCCATGGAAACCAGGTGGGGTCCAAGAGAGGCTGCGGGATGCTTGATGTAGAGCCTGACTCTCGTTCCTGGGAATGTCCGGAGCTGTGACTCCGAGTGTCTTTTTCTCTATCGCCGGGATGGGGGGGGGGTAGCGAAAGGCTCTCCCGGGTGGGGGGCTGGGGTGTCATTCGTCAATGTCAGCATTGTCAGGTTCTCTCCTCGGGAGGGGGAAGGGGGGGTGATGATGGTCGGTGTCCGTGGGGGCAGATGTTTTTTTTGTTGCCTAGGGCAGCACAACACCTAAATACATTACTGCTATTAACTCCTATGTACACAGGAGGCAGAGGATAGCTGTGCAAGTCCTTAGCAACTGATGATGTCATCGGTTGATAGGACGCAGTCGGGCTGCCAGCTTAGCTTTCAGTTGTACCAGCAAGAGTACAGAGAGGAGCAATGAGTGGAGGGAGGTCCGGGCTTGGCCTTCTCTGTACACAGGACTTAATAGAGCTCTCTCCCTCCTGTAGCACAGGAACTCGGAGAGGATCGCTTAGCTCGGGCTGTGGCACCCCTGAAGACGTCTCATGGCACCACAGTTGAGAAACACTGATATACAGTATACACCATAAACAGGGGTGGACTGACCATTTGAGCACTCGGGCACTGCCTGAGGGCCCAGGGTCAGTAGGGGGCCCCATGAAATGCCCCTGGCACCTTTTATAGGCTTTTTTGGGTGTGCTTTGAGTGTGGGCAAGGACACAATGGCCCCATGATCCCCTATTGCCCGGGGGGCCTATGAGTTGTCAGTCCGCCCCTGACCCAGAAAACATGAGTGAGCAGGCTAAATCCATTCCTTTTATTTCTTATGGGATTCATATTCTGTAACTGGAGGTGATAACAGAATGGCCCGATCATAAAACCAAACATGGCAACAAATAAACCAATGAAATGCCCCCCCCCCTCCCCGTTCAAAAGTCTGCACCCCCTTAGTTCTTAATCCCGTGTATCACCCCCTTTAGCATCAATGACAGCGTGCCATTTTCTGTAATAGTTGCCTATGAGGCACCAAATTCTTGCAGGTGGTGGAGCTGCCCATCCGTCTTGGCAAAGTTCCTCCAGGTCCTTCAACTCTTTGGTCATCTTGCATGAACATTTGAGATCTCCTTAGAGTGGCTTGATGATGTTAAGGTCAGGAGACTAAGATGACCACTCCAGAATATTCCCCATTTTCTGCTGTAACCACTGCAGGGTCAGCTTGGTCTTGTGCTTAGGGTCGTTGTCATTCTGGAGAGCCCAAGAGCGTCCCATGCACAGTTTTCATGCCGAAGAATGCAAACTGTTTGCCAGTATTTTCTGATAAATGCTGCATTCATCTTGCCATTCATTTTCATAAGATTCCCTGTGCTTTTACAGCTCCCCCTCCCACAAGAAAACATCATTGAGCCACCACCATGCTTCACAGTGGGGATGGTATTCTTGTCATCTTGTTGACCCCTCTCCAAACATAGCGCTTATGGTTGTGACAATAAAGCTCTATATTGGTCTCATCCCTCCAGATTACAGTGTGCCAGAAGCTGTGAGCTCCCCCCCCCCACAAAAAAACATCAGTGAGCTACCACCATGCTTCACAGTGGGGATGGTATTCTTGTCATCTTGTTGACCCCTCTCTAAACATAGCGCTTATGGTTGTGACAATAAAGCTCTATATTGGTCTCATCCCTCCAGATTACAGTGTGCCAGAAGCTGTGAGGCTTGTCAAGGTGTTGGGCATATTGTAACCAGGCTTTTTTGTGGCATAGTCAACTCAGCCATGCAGCTAATTTTTGTTCAAGTATGGTTGTATTGTGCTCCTTGAAACAACCACACCCTCTTTTCCCAGAGCAGCCTGTGTTTCTCTTGAGGTTGCATGTTGTTTTTTTTTTGTATCTTGAACAATTCTTCTGGCAGTTGTGGCTGCAATCTTTCTTGGTCTACCTGACCTTGGCTTGGTATCAAGAGATCCCTGAATTTTCCATTTCTTAATCAGTGATTGAACTGTACTGAGTGGCATATTCAAGACTTTGGATATCTTTTTATATCCTTTTTCAACTTTATAAAAATCCATTACCTTGTTACGCGGGTCTTTTTGATGGTTCTTTTCTGCTCCCCATGGCTCAGTATCTAGCCTGCTCAGTCCTCCCATGTGAGAGCTAACAAAACTCATTGGCTATTTATACACTGACACTAATTGGTATTTAAAAAGCCACAGATGGGGGACATTAACCTCTAATTGGCATTTTAACCCGTGTGTGTCACCTTGTGTGTCTGTACCAAGGCCAAACATTCCAGGGGGCGGAGACTTCTGATCCAGGGGGCGGAGACTTTTGATACAGGCTATTTTGGTGATTTCTGTTATAATTATGATGGAAAAAGGAGCCCAACAACTATGTGATAATAAATGGCTTCATATCATTACTATCCTTAAATAAAAGACAGTTTTTTTTGGCACGATCAGTCATATTTTCAATATCAACCCCCAAACTTCATGATTTCTGCCAGGGGATGCAAACTTTAGAGCACAACTGTACCTTCCTGGGTCCAGTAGCACCTCTGCATGAGGTCATAAACACTTCTGGGTATTATTGGGACCCTGTCCTATTAGGATAACAACCTTAACCCTAACCTCCTGACTACACCAGCCAATCAGAGTGGTGCCCATTTCCTAAATGGCTGAAGCTCATCTCAGAGGTTGCTTTTTCTACGTGGAGCTCTCCTGATCCTTGTCTGACTTTAGATTTGGTCCTTCTGTTTGTCTGCCTCATTTAAACTCAGGGGAACTCCTGTCTTGGGGCCAAAGTAGTGCTTTTGTAAGATAGCTGCTGAACCTCTTGGTATACCTATCTGCTGCCCGGCCTGTATCCCCCAATGATTCCTGTGCCCCAACACCAGGCAAGTTCCTGGGATTTTTGTTTTTATTATTTCCACCTCCATCTTCCCCCATGATCTAGAGTGGGAACTTTTTGGTAATTGGTGTTGTTAAAATAATAATCTTCTTGTTATGTAAAATTTACGTGAAGTGTTTTTATGAATGGAAAAAATTGTTACTTTCCTTAATTATAACTTATGTGTAAATGTTGTTTCAGCAGTTCTACATTGAGATCCGAGGTTCTGATGAAGCAGGTTTTCCTGTGAAATGTGTGACCATTTATAAATCGATCTCAAGAACATATGTATGGCTGTCTTGGATCTTTAAGTTCTTTTAATGGATCTATTTGGTATATGTTAAATAAAGTGACATTTTATATTTATATGCAGTATTTTGTCTGCATCATACCTTTGGAGGTATATACAAAGTCCCACTCTGCAATTCATTCTTTAGACATATATATTGCCAAAAGTATTGTCCCCACCCTCCTAATCATGTGATTCAGGTGTTCCAATCCCCTCCTAATCATGTGATTCAGGTGTTCCAATCCCCTCCCAATCATGTGAATCAGGTGTTCCAATCCCCTCCCAATCATGTGATTCAGGTGTTCCAATCCCCTCCTAGACATTGGATTCAGGTGTTCCAATCCCCTCCCAATCATGTGATTCAGGTGTTCCAATACCCTCCTAGACATAGGATTCAGGTGTTCCAATCCCCTCCCAATCATGTGATTCAGGTGTTCCAATCCCCTCCTAATCATTGGATTCAGGTGTTCCAATCCCCTCCCAATCATGTGAATCAGGTGTTCCAATCCCCTCCCAATCATGTGATTCAGGTGTTCCAATACCCTCCTAGACATAGGATTCAGGTGTTCCAATCCCCTCCCAATCATGTGATTCAGGTGTTCCAATCCCCTCCTAATCATTGGATTCAGGTGTTCCAATCCCCTCCCAATCATGTGAATCAGGTGTTCCAATCCCCTCCCAATCATGTGATTCAGGTGTTCCAATCCCCTCCCAATCATGTGATTCAGGTGTTCCAATCCCCTCCTAGACATTGGATTCAGGTGTTCCAATCCCCTCCCAATCATGTGATTCAGGTGTTCCAATACCCTCCTAGACATAGGATTCAGGTGTTCCAATCCCCTCCCAATCATGTGATTCAGGTGTTCCAATCCCCTCCTAATCATTGGATTCAGGTGTTCCAATCCCCTCCCAATCATGTGACTCAGGTGTTCCAATCCCCTCCTAGACATTGGATTCAGGTGTTCCAATCCCCTTTTAGACATTGGATTCAGGTGTTCCAATCCCCTCCCAATCATGTGATTCAGGTGTTCCAATCCCCTCCTAATCATTGGATTCAGGTGTTCCAATCCCCTCCCAATCATGTGATTTAGGTGTTCCAATCCCCTCCCAATCATGTGATTCAGGTGTTCCAATCCCCTCCCAGTCATGTGATTCAGGTGTTCCAATCCCCTCCATGGACACAGGTGTATACAATCAAGCCCCTAGGCATGCAGACGGCTTCTACAAACATTGGTGAAAGAATGGGTCGCTCTCAGGAGCTCAGTGACTCCAAGCGTGGTCCCGTGATAGGTGGTCACCTGGGCAATAAGTCCATCCGTGACATTTCCTGGCTACTAAATATTCCACGCTCAACTGTTAGTGGGATTATAACAAAGTGGAAGCAACTGGGAACAATAGCAACTCAGCCACCAAGTGGTAGGCCATGTCACATGACAGGGCGGGGTCAGCACATGCTGAAGCGCACAGTGCGCAGAAGTCGCCAACTGTCTGCAGAGTCAATAGCTAAAGACATACAAACTTGGTGTGGCCTTCAGATGAGCCCAACAACAGTGCGTAGAGAGCTTCATGGAATGGGTTTCCATGGCTGAGCAGCTGCATCCAAGCCTTGCATCACCAAGTGCAGTGCAAAGCGTTGGTGTCAGGAATGGACTTGCCAGTAATGGTGGGACTCACCTGCCTTGTGGGCTGCAGTACCGGGGCTGGCCAGCGGGTGCTCTAGGCAATCCGAGACTCAACCCTGCAGTCAGCCAAAACACCTGAGGCTGATTGCAGATGTATTTAAGGGATGGCCAGACCTGCAGTCTGGGCCTTGGTGTGTGTTTTCCTATGGGCCCCTGTATCTTGTTACCTGCATTCCTGTTCCTGTCTGACTGATTCGTTGCCGACCCTGCCTGATCCTGACCTCTGCTGACTTCTCCTTCTTGATCCCTGGCTTGTGACCCCGACCATTCTCTGCCTGACCCCCTGTACCTACCTGCCCGTTAGTTGCTGTACCCGGCTCGTGACCTGACTACTCTCTGCCTGCTCCCCCTGTTCCTACCTGCCCTATTGTTATTGACCCGGCCTGCCTGACGACGCTTGCATTGTATGTATTATCTGTGGGTGGTTTGGTTCGTTTGCACTGTGTTATGTTTTAGTATATCACTGCGTTTATGTATTGTTAGTGTCAATAAATTATATTGTTTATAACATATCTGAAGCCTGCGTTTCCCTGCGTCAGTTCACATACCTCTGGTCATACCCCGGAGCCCTGACATTTGGATGCCGTGGTGTAAAGCACGCCGCCACTGGACTCTAGAGCAGTGGAGATGTGTTCTCTGGAGTGACCAATCACGCTTCTCTGTCTGGAAATCCGATGGACATGTCTGGGTTTGGCAGTTGGCAGGAGAACTGTACTTGCCTGACTGCATTGTGCCAGGTGTAAAGTTTGGTGGAGGGGGGATTATGGTGGTGTGGGGGTGTTTTAAAGGGGTTGGGCTTGGCCCCCTAGTTCCAGGGAAGGGAATTCTTAAGGTGACATTTTGGACAAATTCATGCTCCCAAATTTGTGGGAACAGTTTGGGGATGGCCCCTTCCTGTTCCAACATGACTGCGCACCAGTGCACAAAGCAAGGTCCATAAAGACATGGAGGAGCCAGTTTGGGGTGGAGGAACTTGACTGGCCTGCACAGAGTCCTGACCTCAACCCCATAGAACACCTTTGGGATGAATTAGAGCGGAGACTGTGAGCCAGGCCTCCTCCCCTGACATCAGTGCCTGACCTGACAAATGTGCTTCTGGAAGAATGGTCCAACCTTCCCATAGACACCCTCCTAAACCTTGTGGACGGCCTTCCCAGAAGAGTTGAAGCTGTTATAGCTGCAAAGGGCGGGCCAACTCAATATTGAACCCTACGGACTAAGACTGGGAGGCCATTAAAGGTCATGTGGGAGGAAAGGGCGTGGCCAACTCAATATTGAACCCTACGGACTAAGACTGGGAGGCCATTAAAAGTCATGTGAGAGGAAAGGGCGGGGCCAACTCAATATTGACCCCTACGGACTAAGACTGGGAGGCCATTAAAAGTCATGTGAGAGGAAAGGGTGGGGCCAACTCAATATTTAACCCTATGGACTAAGACTGGGAGGCCATTAAAGGTCATGTGCATGGAAAGGGCGGTGCCAACTCAATACTGAACCCTACGGACTAAGACTGGGAGGCCATTAAAGGTCATGTGCGTGGAAAGGGCGGGGCCAACCCAATATTGAACCCTACGGACCAAGACTGGGGGGCCATTAAAGGTCATGTCTGTGTAAAGGCTGGCGACCAATACTTTTGCCAATATAGTGTATTTAATAGGGATGATACCTCCCAAGGCCCAAACTGTTTAACAACCATCCCCCACATTTAACTTACATGATTCTTTATCACCCCAAATAATTCCCCAACATTCCTCATTAGATCCAAGTCCCCAACTATTGTTGAATTCTGATGCAAAGCCCTTTACTTGTATCAATTATGGGAATACATGTATATATGCACAATGGTGGATAGATTCATTTTTTTGTGATTTTGTTTTTTTTAAGTGGTAACACTGTAAACTTTTTATCACACAAAATAATCTCCTGACATTCCTAATTAGATCCAAGTCCCCTGCCGGGGCTCTCTGAGGGTTCCAATCCTCATCAGAGCTTCACAGACTAGTTGCTAAGCTTCGCCGCTCTCCAGACGTGGAGGTCGGCTTTGTTTGTACATAGACAGAGATAATTGCCGCTAAATGGCGGGAAGTATGTTGTTCGCCAGCGAAGGAGTGCGGCTGAACATGTTCACAGTGGCATCGCGGTCCTGCGACTCTCCGCTAATTAGCTGGAGGTGACAAAGCTTCGTCTCTATGTGCCTCATGGATTCTTGATTTTAAATTCTCCGGAGAGGATGAACATCGCCGACAGCACAATGACGACGCAGGTGACCCGAAGACGCAAAGGAAACAGGCGTACAACTCACCTGTAAAGGGAAACAAAAGTCATTTTAATATTCTCTTTCTATCTGTCTTATGTGAACAATCATCAAAATGTGTACAAAAAAAAAGGTGCTGAGAGGATATGTGGGAGTAAGGACCAGTTCACACTCCATGCATTTCAGTTGCTTTTTTTTCTGCATCGAAAACGCACAGAAAGTCAGTGATATGGTTGTCAGTGTCATAGTTCACATCAGCACTTGCAGTTCCAGTGTGTTGCAGAAAAAAAGGTAGAACAGGCTGCATTTTTTCTGCACAGAACTGCACTGGAGCGTGGTAAAACGCATCAAAAACGCACCAAAATTCACCAAAATGTAAATGTAAAAATCTGCATTGTTTCCTGGAAAATTACTTAGATCCGTCCAACATATATTTTTTTAAGCAGAGGCCCTACAGAATAAAATGGTGAGTGTTGCCATTTTTTTTTAACCACATGCCGCCCAGCCACTGTACATGTACGGCGGCAGGGCAGCACTCACAGGCAAAACCACGTTTTAAGACGTGTGTTTTGTAAACAAATAGGGGGCGCGTGCAAGGCGCGCCGCTGCCCTATTTGTCCTGCGGATCACCGCTGCAGATGTCAGTCGCCGGGTCACAGCCGCTCCTTAGCGGCTATCTCCCGGCGATCGGCGGCAAACATTCGGACGCGCGAATCGAAATTTTTCCGAAAATGGCGGCTGACATGTGCGGCGACGGAGCGGGGATGTCGGGGAAGGCGCGCAGACAAGGCGCGCTGCCCCATAATGCATTCCTCAACGACATGTGATCGCATCAGCCAATCAGCAGCCAGCAGCCAGCCAGCACTGTGTAATGGTCGAGGTATATATAGCGGCCATTTTGGAAATCTTCATTTGCCTGCAGTCATTGAACAGAGCAGACCGCTCTGTACTAGGGACAGGGACAGAGTTAGGGCCACAGAAACGAGAATTGGGGACAGAGAGAAGTTACTTAGGGACAGAGAGAACCATTACTCAGGGACACAGACTTGTTAATGAGGGCCACAGAATCGTTATTTAGGGACAAAGAAACGCTAGTTAGGGCCACAGAATTCATACTCAGGGACAGACAGAATTGTTACTCAGTGCCAGAGAATTGTTACTTAGGGCCACAGAAACGTTATTAGGGCCACAGAATTTTTACTCAGGGACAGACAGAATTGTTACTGAGTGCCAGAGAATTGTTACTCAGGGACAGACAGAATTGTTACTGAGTGCCAGAGAAATTCTTACTCAGGGCCACAGAATTCATTCTCAGGGACAGACAGAATTGTTACTCAGGGACAGACAGAATTGTTACTGAGTGCCAGAGAATTGTTACTCAGGGACAGACAGAATTGTTACTGAGTGCCAGAGGGAATTGTTACTCAGGGACAGACAGAATTGTTACTGAGTGCCAGAGAATTGTTACTCAGGGACAGACAGAATTGTTACTGAGTGCCAGAGAATTGTTACTCAGGGACAGACAGAATTGTTACTGAGTGCCAGAGAATTGTTACTCGCACAGACACAAAATTGTTACTTGCACAGACACAGAATTGTTACTCGCACAGACACAGAATTGTTACTGGGCCACAGAATTGTTACTCAGACAGGTTTAGACAGAATTGTTACTGAGTGCCAGAGAATTGTTACTCAGGGACAGACAGAATTGTTACTGAGTGCCAGAGAATTGTTACTCAGGGACAGACAGAATTGTTACTGAGTGCCAGAGAATTGTTACTCGCACAGACACAAAATTGTTACTTGCACAGACACAGAATTGTTACTCGCACAGACACAGAATTGTTACTCAGGGCCACAGAATTCATACTCAGGGACAGACAGAATTGTTACTGAGTGCCAGAGAATTGTTACTCAGGGACAGACAGAATTGTTACTGAGTGCCAGAGAATTGTTACTCAGGGACAGACAGAATTGTTACTGAGTGCCAGAGAATTGTTACTCACAGACAGACAAAATTGTTACTGCACAGACACAGAATTGTTACTCGCACAGACACAGAATTGTTACTACAGCACACAGAATTGTTACTCAGGCACAGACACAGAATTGTTACTGAGGGCCACAGAATTGTTACTCAGGGACAGGGACAGACAGAATTGTTACTGAGTGCCAGAGAATTGTTACTCAGGGACAGACAGAATTGTTACTG